TTCACCCTCTGTGCCCTTCAGTCCTCCTCCTTAAACATTAAGATCCCAAATCCTCACTGTCATGTAAAAATATGAGACTGGAGCAAAGTGATACATCTGGGCACAAAGCCACTAACCACTGAATTGAAGGCCAGCAAACTTTACCTTTGCAAGGGTATTATCCCTAAGGGGCTCTAAGTTTCGACAACTAAGCAAACATTCAGTAATGGCTTCAATATAATCTTCCCTACATTTGTTCGTTAGTAGATGACTAATGCTGTGTAATGAAATTTACACTGCCACTGTAGAATCTGTATTGCTAGTGAAATTTGTCATCATGATGGGGTGCTGATTTGCTAATTGGGTTTATTCTGCTCTCTGTACCACCAATTTGCCACATAAAAATAAATAGACAGGTGGCATGTCCAGAATGGATTTAATGTCAGCTGCTATAAACATGCACACACACAAATGCAGATGCAATTATTTGTTTTATTTATTTATTTATTCTTTTCCTTTTTTCAGATGAGACCTGTCCATCAAATATGTGGGATTGCAAGAACCGTGGGGTTAACGGTACACAGTGTGGTCAGATTTTCTGGAGGCTGGAGGCAGGGCCATACTTCCTTGAAGGTGGGTGACACTGCAGCCAACAGCTGACCTTCACCTTGATGTTATAAAATATTTAATGGACTAGGAGGTTAGACAGAAGATTTTTAAAATTGCATTGACTTATTTTACATTCTTGGGGCCCAGAATTCAGCTTGAAATACTGAACATGTTAGCAATGCTTAAAGGGATAGTTCACCCAAAAATGAAAATGTGATGTTTATCTGCTTACCCCCAGGGCATCCAAGATGTAGGTGATTGTTTCTTCAGTAGAACAAAAACTAAGATTTTTAACACAAACCGTTGCAGTCTGTCAGTCATATAATGTAAGTGAATGGGAATCACGGCTTTGCGAGTAAAAAAAACATACACAAACAAAACCAAATTAAACCCTGCAGCCCGTGACGATACATTGATGTGTAAAGACACAAAACGATCGGTCTGTACAAGAAACTGAATAGTATTTATATAGTTTTTTTACCTCTGATTCACGCAATGTCTGAACTGTTCGAACTGTCCTGTGGGCGGCGCGTTCTCACCTGCAGGCGCATGAGGCGTCTTCTTCTTCTTGCTTTACGGCGGATCGCAGACTTATAAGTGCATTACCGCCACTTATCTCTCAAATGGACCATTGACACTCCTAATTGAGATTGTAGATAGAGTGTCAATGGTCCATTTGTTCGGACAATGCGTGAATCAGATGTAAAAAAAAAGATATAAATACTGTTCAGTTTCTTGCAGAGACCAATCGTTTCGTGTCTTTACACATCAATGTATCATAACGAGCCGCAGGGTTTAATTTGGTTTTTTACTCTCAAACCTGTGATTCTCATTCACCTCCATTATAAGACTGGCAAACTGCAACGGTTTGAGTTAAAAATCTTTGTTTGTGTTCTACTGAAGAAACAAAGTCACCTACATCTTGGATGCCCTGGGGGTAAGCAGATTAACATCACATTTTCATTTTTGGGTGAACTATCCCTTTAAAGTTATAAAAAAGAAGTGTAATGTTTTTTTGTACAAAATATCAGGCTGACTCTACAAATATGATGGGCAGATTTATTATGCTGGCACTTTTCTGGTTATCTCTTCTAGCTGAGACAAGGATCTGTTTTAAGTACTATCATGGAGTAAGCGGTGCGCTGAGAGCCACAACTCCCTGCATCACAGTCAAGAACCCCAGAGCCTCGGTCAGTTTGAGTGTGTGTGGGTGTGTGTGTATGCAGACATTATTCTTTTGATATCATTATAGCTCACAAAAACACTGGAGATATATATAAAGTGTGTTTTTATGAGCTATTTTTGTGTGCTGAAAACAGCATGAGTTGCACTCAAAGTTCAAATGTTTGGGGTCAGTAAGATTTAAAAATACTGTTCTGTAGCTACTGTAGCTGTCTTGTTCGCTACAGGCCAGACTATGATTGGTAAAGGTTATACAGTACATGAGGTACTAAGTGCTAAATGGCTGTTTGACTGCATCCTCACATGTGTTTGAAGGTCGGACATTTCTCAGTTCCCATAAGTGCAGGCCATTTATCATGTCACTGGATGGATATAGGGAACTCAGTCATATAGATATGGGAGCTTGTTCCCTGCTTAAAATACTTATTATTTATCATTGTAAGTCTGTGTTTATTACATAAGAAGGCCAGGTGTATGTTGCCTCTCATATCAGTCTATCTTCTAGGTCGACGGTCAAGGTGAAGGACCGCAAGCTTCAGACAGCAGCCGAAAATTGGTCAGCTTTACTCTATCAGGTACGTTTTCTGTGTGTAAGAGACAGAAGGCAATGATCAAATGATGATTTATACTCTTCAAATAACTTATAATGCTGTTATCCTATTGGCAGATTTATTCAAGCTGTTTTTATTGCTAATTGGACTGTTGTTTGTTTTAGATATCCGGGCTGTGGGGCTGAAGAAGGGGATGTTTTTTAATCCAGACCCTTATTTGAAGATGAGCATTCATCCTGGCAAGAGAAGTTGCTTTCCGACATTTTCTCATCATGGCCAAGACAGACGATCTGGCATTACAACTAACACTACTAATCCTTTGTGGCATGGAGAGGTGACACACACACACACACACAAAGAGAAACAAACTCTCTAATGCAGGGCATGAAAATACAGACACATTCACTGGCAAATAAACAAGTGCTGAAACAGTTCAGACCAAGATGAGTTTTTTTATTTTTTTTATTCCGCTTTTCTCTTTGTTTTACCATCTAGAAACACACTTTTGTGGCTCTTATGACAGACGTCTTAGTGGTTGAGGTTAAAGACAAGTTTGCTAAAAGTCGACCAATTATTAAGCGCTTTCTGGGTCAACTGAACATTCCGGTGCAGATGCTGCTGGAGAGACACGCATCAGGGTGAGCATCATGGCAGCATCTCATCTGATCATCACCATACTATAATGTGTCATTTATGTAAACAAACATGTTTCTGAACATAAACACTGCTTTTAGTTACAATATAACTGATCAGTAATACACTACTGTACAGAAGTTTGGGGTTGAGAAGATTGTTTAAAATGTTTTTGAAAGAAATCTCTTATGCTCACTAAGACTGCATTTATTTGATAAAAATGCAATAAAACAGTAACATTGTGAAATTATTACAATTTAAAATGGCTGTTTTCTATTTTTATATATTTTAAAATGTAATTTATTTCTGTGATGGCAGCGCTGAATTTTTATTCAGCAAGGATGCATTGAATTAATTAAGACATTTGTATAATGTTAAGAAATATTTCTGTTTTGAATACATGCTGTTCTTTTGAACTTTCTATTCATCAAAGAAGCTCGAGAAAAAAAAAAGTTAAAACATGTATCAAGTTTTACACACAAATATTCAGCACCACTCTTTTCATTTTAAACTGAAATTATATTTCACAATATTATTGTTTAAATGTATTTGATCAAATAAATGCAGCCTTTGTGAGCATAAGAGACTTTTTTTTCAAGAACATTAAAAAAATCTTACCAACTCCAAAATTTACAAAAGTACTCAATGTGTGTAAATAAATTTGTGTGTTTATATGGCTTCAGGAACCAATCACTGAGCTTCTCTCTATGTCGTCGCTTGCCCACTGATCATGTGAGTGGTCAAATGCACTTTAAAGTGGATGTTACATCCATGGGCCAAGATGGTAAGATCACATGCACATTTACGCTGACTAAGCTGTTAATTTTCAATGGTTTTGAGATCATTTTACCCACTTCTCATAGACATTTCTCCTGAGACGATTCTGGGGGCAGCAGCCCTCAATGGAGCTCCTGGAACCCCTTCAGATGATGAAGAACTGCCCCATCCTCTTCCTGTCCCATCAGCAGGCCCTTCCCCCACCGGCTCCCTGGGTTCCCATAGAAATGGGGAAGGGAGCAGCATTCGCTCCCCAGACACAGAGATGTATGGTACCACCCTGGACGATGAAACCCCTTCTTCACCTGACCCGCTCCAGGTTTCTTTCAGTGAGCAGCTTGATGCCATTGATGCACCTAAGGGCCCGGGAGACAGGCCTTTTGGGGCAGCTTCTCCCAAACTACGATCCAGCTTTCCCACACATACGCGCCTCAGTGCTATGTTGCATATTGACTCAGATGAAGATGAGGAAAGATCCACTGCTACAGAGGCTACGCTGCCTACATTTAATGGTGCTTCAAGGACTCAAAACACCCCCCCAAAACCACCAATTACAGAACCTGTGTTTGAAAGAACTGTAGAGGAACCTCCAGAAGAGGCTGGCCTGGAGTCTGAAATAGAGACTCTGAATATAGGCGTAGAGGTGGCTCCTGAGCCAGAAGTCGTGCCGAGTTCAGTGGCCCCTGAGGTGGAAACTGCCAGTCTGATAGAGAGGCAAGAGGAAGAGGAGGAGGACGTGGAGGAAGAGGGGCTGGCACCCAGTGAGGAGCTGGCAACTGAAGTTGATATCTCTTCAATGGCATCTGACTGCTGCCCGGGCCTTGTGTCTGCTTCTCAGGTCAGTTGCCGGTTTACTGAAAGAAGACTTAATTAATTTAAGTGGGTCAATGACATTTAAGAGTGTCCACAATCTTTTAAAAGTGTCCAGTCCTTTTACAAATCTAGTTTAAAACAGTGTTGTAATTGTTAACTAATAAAAACTATAAAACTAATACAAATCATTAAAAAAATCATTAAAACATTTAAAAATTTATTATAAATAATATATGAAAACGTATACTTTAAAAAATTCCACAAAATTAGAAATGTTTTGGAAATAAAAATAAGTTTAAGTACTTAAATTACTAAAACTAAAATCTAAATCAATTATAAATGTAAACATAGAAAACAAAAACTAATAAAAATCACTACATAACAAAATTAAAATGAAAACTAAACACATATACATACACACACACACATATATATATATATATATATATATATAAGCTAATTAAAAATATTAATAACTACTATAATAGTGTATAAATAATACTAAAATAACACTGGTTTAAATCACATGTGCCAAGTTCTTAGTTACTTGAGTTCATGTTGTTTTAAATGGTTTTGAAACAGTTTTACACTGTTCAAAATAAGTGTCAGTTGAATATATGTTGTTCCACTTGCTTTGTCATAAAAGATCAAATTATCTGCATATTGGTTGCACCACATGACTTTGAAGAAATAATAATAAAAGATTATGCCACATTTCTTAATAAAGTTTGCTTTTCAAGAATTTCATTCTTTTAATGAATATTTACTTTACTTTTACTTTTACTTTGTCATTTAGCAGATGCTTTGATCCAAAGTGACTTACAAATAAGAAAAAGTAATTAAAACTAAAAGCTAAAACTCTATAAATACTACACATATACATGTACATGTACACACATACAGTATATATATATTTATATATATATAAATACATTCAATATATATATATTATTTCATTTCCATTTTGTATGTTGAAGTACTGAAATAACTCAAATTAAATAAAACTAAAACTTAATAAAAAAACCTATATAGACATAATAAAAAACGAATAAAATGACAACATTACTACAACTGTAACTAAAATAGATAACTAATACAAATCAAAGTACATTAGTTTATCAGTAATCCTAAAAAAATAACACTGAGCCAAACACATATGCTAAAATAACAACAACTTACTGACACATAGTAAGAAATGGTTATAAAAAACTGAAACAGAAGTGAAACAAGTAATAAGAAAGAGGAGAAATAAAAAGCGATAATGTTACTTATCCTTTGCCGGTGTCCCTGTCTGGTGGAGTCGCACGGTAGAGTCGATGGTCTTTACACTCTTCGGTCTTCACACGACCGCTTCCACGGTAAACTAAGCTTCTTTTTAATTCGTTTAACAAAACTCAAATTGAATTCAGCTGGACATACTTTCCTGTTTATCCCAACAAATGGCCAAGCAAAGCGCACGCCACTGACAAGGTACGCGATACAGTACGAGACCAAACGCCATATCTATTCATCTTTTTAGTTTGTTTGTTTTAAATAGAAAGCAAATTGGAATCGCTCTTTTCATTTTATTTTAATTCATTTATTTATTTTGTATGTAAAGTATGAGATGATTTTCTGAGGTCATTAACTGAGACAGTTGAGTAATATTATTTCAGTAAGCCTGTCACAATCATACATCCTCTTTTACAAACATTCATAATGAGGAAGTGAAAGTATAAATGATCAAATGATTGATGCTCTGCTGTCTGACATTATTACACAGCAAGTAATTCTACCGCAGAGAAAGTATTTCTCAATTTCTGTGCAGAATTATGATTGATTTCATGGAAAAGGCTGATATTAGTGAAGCAGCATTTAAATTCGAGACTGATGCCCTTGTTTTCTGACTCACCTCGAGGAAGAGGAATGTGAAGATGTGACTGAGGACACAATGTCCAGAAGATGGAGCCTGGAGGCGACAGCCGGTGTGTCACAGGAGGATGAAGAAGAAGAGGAGTTAATGCCATCAGTAGATGGAGAATCTGTGGACTCCGAGACTTTCATTACTGAGACAGAATCAGAATTAGGTATTCTCTGAATCATTGAGCTGTCCTTCGCTTGCCAATTCATTTTAAGATGGAAAAGGAATCAAATGTGAGTTTAGAATACATCCTGATGCCGTATGTAAAATATTGCAGGTGTCCCTCAGATCAACGGAGATCAGCGTGTTCGTTCTCTGCCGTCTGTAAGACAAGACATCCACCGATACCAGCGTGTGGACGAGCCCTTACCTCCCAGTGAGTGTGTGTATGTGTTTCTGTATGTCTGCATGTGCTTCCATGTCTTTTATGTGTGTGTAAATACGTTGCTTATGTGTTATTTGTTTGTTTGTAAAGACACTTTCGCCAAATTACTGAATGCCATTTCGGCTTGACAACTTAATCAGGTACAATCACACTCCCACCGTTCTTTCCTCAGACTGGGAGGCTCGTATTGACAGTCATGGCCGTATCTTCTTTGTGGATCATGTGAACCGCACCACCACATGGCAGAGACCCACTGGCCCACCTGCTCCTCAGGGTCTGACCCGCTCCAGCTCCATACTGCAGATGGAGCAACTCAACCGCAGGTTAGATAATTAACTTATATTTTTCACGTGTCATATAATATTACAAAGCTGAAAATCTAACTTAATGCTGAGAGGACACCCAGCAAAATATTCTCCTAATGTCTTTATGAATCAATTTAAAACATTCTAAGAACATTCTTTAAAGACTTACCATACATTAATCTTCTTATGAAGTTCTTGAAACCAAACATTGCTAGCTGTGCAGCAAAGGTGTGGTCCCATTCACCTTTGTGTGCAAAATTCAGTGAGCAAAATGCAGTAATTTCAATAGGAATCCTGATATTTCATGAGAGGGTCATGTGAAGCGATAGAATTCCCAGCATGGATTTCACATCAAATTCAAGTTTGTTTACTGTTAAGACTTTGAATTTGATTGTAAAAAATACTTGCACACTGCAAAAATGTTAAGCCATTAAACTGAAAATGGAAGTTTAATTGTTATAACCATAAGCGATAAATTCATTGAACCTTTTGTCCACTTAAAAGAAAACGAAACCCTGAAAATAAATTATTGTGACAAGGAGTTTGATTGTGCAAAGTAATGTAATACTTTTCTGAAAGTGTGATTTCTGTATTGTCTCTCTGGCAGGTATCAGAGTATTCGTAGAACAATGACCAGTGAAAGGTCTGAGGAACAAAGAGTGGATGATCCTCCTTCCGAAGAGACAGAACTGCTGCCCCACTCCATCGGTGGTAAGCTGTCAATCAAAGTGAGAACTCCAGATGATGGTGTTTAGGAAAGTAAATGATCACTATGCTGAGATAAATGTAAAATGCCATAGTCTGGGTAGAATAAGTGGATTTTGTTCAGTCTGTGCTTATTGATGTGTCTGTTCTCGTGTAGAATACCGAAGGGACGGCTTTATGGGTCAAGCCAACTCACGTTCTCGTCTGGCTTTGCTGCTTCAGTCTCCTGGTGCAAAGTTCCTCTCCAGTCCAGACTTCTTCTCTGTTCTGCATTCTAATACTGTGAGATAAAGCACACAGAGACACAGATATCAGTGCTTTACACACACACCTTAAACTAAGTCATTGAAAATGTATAGCCAGCATTATTACAAAGCTACAGAGCACCACACATAATACGTGAAGGAAAAACAAGAGAACGTGCCACAAATTAAGTTGTGGGAGCGAATTCTTAATTTGTGGCCACAATAACTTTTTTTCTGCATGCCATATACAAACAATAAATAAATCAATAAAACCGTACAAATAATTTATATTATATTATATTATATTATATTATATACATTTTAGCTAACATATTTAGCTACATTGTAAAATGTTTTCCTCTATTTTAAATTCTGTCTCATTCAGGTCTTTGTGTCCCTTACAATGTTTTTCTGAGCTCTTGTTTTTTTCTTATTGCTTTAAATGGGGACTCCTGAGCTTCTAGCCATCTAACAAAGATTTCATGCTTACATTTCATATTCAATTCCTCTCAGGTCATTTTTCCTGCATTCGGTAACTAACTGTTGTTGCAAAATTGTGCTAATTTGCTATTTAACTTGTGCTGATATAAGAGAAAATGTAGAATAAAATGAGACTTTTAGGGCCTTGAGCATAGAGACTTGTAATGTCAGGCCATTATAACAAAATATTTAATTGCTCAGTGATTCGACTGGCCAATCAGAATCAAGTATTAAAAGAGCCGTACAATAATTTTCTGATTTGTTTTCTTCATTTCCCTTTAGAGTGCCTATCGCATGTTCACAAGTAATACGTGTCTGAAGCACATGATCAGTAAAGTTAGACGGGACGTCCAACACTTCGAACGGTACCAGCACAACCGGGACCTTGTCAACTTCCTCAATCTGTTCTCCAACAAGCAGCTGGAGCTGCCACGGGGCTGGGAGATGAAACATGACCACACTGAGAAGGTGTGTGTTTGTATTTTTTCTCCCTTGGGAACTGTGCACCTGTTCTTTCTTAGGGGCCTCTAGAACTGCATATGAGTAGTCTGATGGGACAAACTGTACAGACAGAAACTGAAAGCTGAGTTTAGGATGTTCATGTAGGCCCATCTGGTGGGCTTCCTAATGCCTTAATTAGTGTCTCTGACAGAAACAATGAACAGATGCTTGTCTTATTTATTCTAATCGGCCTGTCCGTTCCGTATACTTCTGCTGATGTTTCACAGACGCTTCTTTGCTCACACTCTCTGTCTATGTGTTTATGTATTACAGCCCTTCTTTGTGGATCATAACTGTCGTGCCACAACATTTATTGACCCACGGCTGCCCTTACAGAACTCCCGGTCCAGCGGCCTGCTGGCTCACCGACAGCACCTGACCCGCCAGCGCAGCCACAGTGCAGGAGAGGTGAGAACTCTAGTTCTGCATACAGTACAGATTTATGTGTGTAATACACATTCACTGCCAAAAGTTTTTGAATGGTAGAGTTAAATAAAGTGCTAAACAAAAGAGCATTTTGTCCTTTTGTCAGTTACATTTACATTTACATTTAGTCATTTTGCCGACGCTTTTATCCAAAGCGACTTACAATTGGGGCATAAAATTGTAATTTAATACATAAAGAGATTCTTCTTAAAGAAGCAAACAGACACAGGAAGTGCTTGAAATACCAAGTTTTAGGCATTGTTCAAATAAGTACAAGCTAGAAAAGGGAAGGAATAAATAAA